ATATATCACATTTTTGCATTGAAATTTACATTTTTTGGAAGAGGATATATGGACGTGTAGCTTCACTGTACAATCCAGTCATTAAATTTAAAATTTAAACCAAATATCTTGATTGATAGCACCTTGATCACATTGATTTGAATCTTGACCTAAGCATCCTCTCATCCAACCACATGCTAACACTAGCTCGTGTCAGTACGTAGAACAAATCAAGGTTTCTAGTGGGAGTATTATTGTTACTAGATTTGCTGAATATGTTCATGATTTCATGCAAGTTATGTACTAAAACCTTAGCTTTATTGAGACTAGAAATAGATTTTACATCAGCTGATGTACTTGTGATTCGACCAGTCACTAGTAGAAAACAGGACTGTCCAAACAGTTATTGGAACCGTTTGGACAAGTCAAAATAGCCCAAACGGTTCAAACTGTTTGGGATAATGAACCCAAACAGTTAAAACCGTTTGGGCTATTAAAAAATCCCAAACGGAAGTCCCAAACGGTTTAACCCGTTTGGAATATCTTAGCCAAACGGTTTTAACCGTTTGAAAGTTATTTTAGGTTTTTATACCCCGCCCTAAATTTTCACCCAGCGCCAAAAATTTCATCTCCAAAATTTCATCGCACCCACTCAAATCCGCCTCCACCTCCCTCATCTTCGCCCCCCCACCCCCACACACACGTACACACACACACACACAAAGATTTCCCTAAACCGCCGCACCTCCCAAAAATCTTCCCAACCCTCGAATCTACCCGTCGAAGTCCGACCGCGGCCGCCGGCCAACGCACCTCCGCCTCATCTTCGTCGGGGGCTCCCTGATCATCTTCGCCATGGGCCACTGTACCCCCTCCACCTCCCTCGTCTCTGCTGGGATCTCGCTCCTCCGCCGGGATCTCGCTCCTCCGCCCCCTCCCGTACCGCCTCCATCGATTCCACTGCATCCTCCTCCACCGCCTCATCCTCAGGTCACCCCATTCTCCTTGGTACCGCCTCCATCGATTCCACTGCATCCTCCTCCACCGCCTCATCCTCAGGTCACCCCATTCTCCTTGTTAAATTAGTATTATACAAAACCCTTAACCTAATTTATTTGACCATCTAACCCAAATTTCCCTATTTATAGCAAATTGCATGAATTGCAACCGTTGCATTCTAACACTCGCAGCTGTTAAGTCTTTCTCTGTTTCTGAGGATTATTAATTCTTAAGATTTTTGTTCCTCTCTTTGTTTCAGAGAATTTTGGTCACGGAACATGTGTGGGATTCTGGCGGTGCTGGGATGCTCTGATGATTTGTAGGCTAAGAGGCTCGAGTTCTCGAACTCTCGCGCAGGCAGTCATCTAACCCTAGCCCTCTGTTTTAGTTTTCTGATGAATTCTCAGCAAAATATAGTTGATGATTGTCATAGTTGATATTAGCAGTAATTTTTTACTAATTTTGATTGCTAGCTATTAGGACATGATGTACAGAAAGATATTTTGAATTCGGTCCGTGTTTAAAAATCTTGGTTTTTGACCAATATGAGAGGTTAATGGGAGAATATTCTTTGAATTCTGGATGTTTTGGCCATTAGAATAGATTCTTTGAAGGGTAATTCATGATACTAATTGATGAGCTAATTTATCTTTTTAATTTCACTCTCATTTTTCTTAATGACTTATACATCATGACATGCTAACTATAACTAGAACACCTCTCATCATTTTCTTAGTGGGGGTGAGATAATCCCTTGAAAGTTAAATACCGCTCCTGCCAAGCGTCCAAGGCATGGGCTAGTAGTATATTGTGACTTGCACAATCACAATTGAAATTGGATAATTTTAATCATGGTAGGCCATTTTCAGTATAAGTCTCTTTTTTTGTGAGGTTGACGACGAAAAGTCCTTGATGGAGTTATTTCCTCCACAATGGTATGTGATATATATTCATTTGGGGTAAGAAACCTGTCTTTGAAGTTAAAAGCTAGAGTGAGGATGACTGGCATTTAATATTTTTATGCATATGCATGTTTCTTGCTGGTAATTACATATGTATGATTCCATTTAATATTTGTGAGGGTTTAATAGTATCATTAAGAAGATAAATGAGATGTGAGATGTGTCCAGATAATCAATTATGACAATAACTGACATGAATTTTTAGATATCTGCTGAGTACCAACTACCATCTCCCCTCGTTCCTTCCCGTGATATTTCATTTCTGCGCTACTGCAAGAAACTGCCTTTGGAGAGAACTTAGTAGTTGTTGATGTTTCCTTGGACTTATTTCGGTCTGATCCAGCACCCAACCGATGCCAAAAAAGACCGTCAGGCTGTATAATCCAAGAAATAGAAGAGCAAACAATAAAGGTAAAATAAAACAAAAGTACATCAGGAATGTATTCTAAAGTTAAGCTACTTTTGAACATGAAAACATGTAATTTGGGTTGAGCATGTTGAAATCAATGTACAAGTCAGTCTTGTTCATGTCATGTACAATCCAATTGTCAATCTGGTATCGACTTTGGAGCAAGGCGTTGGTTGGCTATGTTGGGTCGACAATGTGATCACATTGCAAATGCGATGAACATCAATATTCCCTACTTCAGCGAGTTTGATGGTAAATACAAAAATTCAATTTTCTTACTTTATGTTCTTTATAAAAATGGTTATGTTCTTTTACTTTACAACATAAATGTTCCCTCATTTTTTACTTGTATCCTGAAGTTTAAATTGCCTATATTGACAGTGAGATAGCCCGTCTGAAAGAGAGAAACTTCCACCAGTAGTTCTGATACCCACATGCACAGAACCTGACAATTACATTTCAATTCTCAAACAGGTAATATTCCACTCTATCTCTCAATTTCTCTCTTCTTTCAAAACTTCGGGCTCAAAAAGTTAGTTTTTCTCTCTCTGAATCATTGTGTTTATAGGCAAATGACAAGACTAAGCACAAGAAAAAGATGTTCATTCAAGAGAGCTGCTTTGACGATACCTGTTCATACTTGATCTATGCTCCTATTAGCAAGAGGTCTGTGAATGTGCGCATTCATGGTGGTGATCAAGAAAGGATACAATTTTTGCCTTCAGGGGTTACTATAGTCCCTGATGGGCCTACTAGATGACAAATGGCTCGCTTGTTACTGTTTCGATCCAGATATTGTCGGATTCCAATCCCCAAACTGATGTAAATCCCGGTTCTGTTGAGTTGGTGAATAAACTGTTATTATCTTATTGTCTGAAGTTAAAAGTAGTTTATGTTTGGACATTAGACTATGTTTTCTTGTTCTCAGCGGTTCATGTTCCAGAACTATAAATGTCGCAATGAAATTGGAGTTTAGTTTGGTTGTTTTACTTTGTTTCTTCTTTACTTTCTGCAGTTTTGGTATTATTTCTGAGACATAATGGCAATTTTTAAGTGGAGCATAAGTAGGAGCTGAATGGACATGTTTGTGATGAGAAGTCATCAACATTTGGGTTCAAGTTCTGCACCGGCAAAGCAAAGCCGTTGATTTGATGGAGCGCTGAACAGGCCAAACGGTTGAAACCGTTTGGCCAAACTTTGTCCAAACGGTTATAACCGTTTGGACAGAATTCTGTCCAAACGGTTTCAACCGTTTGGACATTTATTAAATCCCAAACGGTTACAACCGTTTGGGATTCTGTCCAAACGGTTGTAACCGTTTGGGATTTTGTCCAAACGGTTATAACCGTTTGGGCGACCGTTAGGAAAAACTCATCCCCAACCGCTTCAGCCCAAACGGTTATTTTTTTGGGCCAAACGGTTGTAACCGTTTGGGACAGCATTTGCCCAAACGGTTCCAACCGTTTGGACAGACCTGTTTTGTACTAGTGAGTATCTTGGCTTTAATGAAACAGATCGAACGGTTGACAAGATCGTCTTATTAATAATTCTTAGCTAGGAAATTAAGTATCCTACTCTTGGTGGATGATCTTAACCAACCCTTGTGTCCCACTTTGAGTTTGATTTCAAATTACCTAGATTCTCATATGGGAGCCTAAAGCAGCCTGCAAGTTTACAGCAAAATTTTAAGCTTTTTGTAACGAGGATAACTTCTGCTAGTGCACAAAATTTTGGCTTTTCACTTTTGGACAGGGTTTGGTTCATCTAACACTCGTCTACGAGCTGCATCTATACTTTCCTCTGACGTCGACCAGGGTGTTAGGGTGGATACAGATGCCTTCGAACGTCTCAGAAGACCATCGGCCCTTGCCGTAGATTGTTGCTCATCTTCCGGCCGTCTCTCCTTGGACATTGCATGTTTAGTTGTTTTGTAGACTTGCCATGAGATGTAGTTTTATTTATTTATTTATTTATTTATTAGTGTGAGTGTTAATTAATATAGTTAGACTATCTTATTTTTCTTTATTTTAATCACACGTCGCTTAGGATTCTATAACTTCTCTTTTTACTATTGTTTTTAAACACTTTAATACAATGAACAACACTATTGTATATAAACCCTTACTCACAAATCAACCAATTGGAGTTTTGTTGCTACTTCCATATATGCTCCTAATGATCCTTCAGAGAGGGAGGTATGCTGGTGGGAAATTGATAGGATTAGAGGATCCCATGTTTTGCCGTGGGTGGTTTTCAGAGATTTCAACATGACTTTAAGCTTAGATGAAAGAAGTGGCCGCTCTAGTTCGATAAGAGATATTAAATCTTTCCAGAGTCTCATCAACTCTGTCAACCTTATTGATCTCCCTCTAAGTGGCAGAAAATTCACCTGGTCCAACCATAGATCCCCTCCATCTTTAGCTAGATTGGAGAGATTTTTGGTTTCGTTGGATTTTGAAGCTAACTTTCCACTGATGGTTCAATATGCTTATCCAGCTCAGTGCTCAGACCATTGCCCAATTCTGCTGGATACCAGCTCTCCTTTCCTCCCCCCTCCCTTCAGGTTTGAAAAGATGTGGTTATCCATTCCCTCTTTTCAATCCTTCATAGCATCTAGCTAGTCGTCATTCTCTTCGAGAGGTGAGCGCCAGATGTCCCTCCCTTTCAAGCTTAAACTCATTAAAAAGAGAATCAAATGGTGGAAAAGGTACTGTTTTGGATCCCTGTCCAAGCTTCTTTCAAACCTTATGGCCCAAATCCATTCCCTCAATATCAGTAAAGAGGCCAGAAATCTATCCTCCCTTGAATCTCAACTTAGATCTGATTTAAAGGACCAGGTCCTCTCTCTTGCTAATGCTGAAGAGATCAAATGGAAGCAAAGGTCCCGAGTCCAGTGGCTGAAAGAAGGAGACAATAATTCAGCTTTCTTCCACAAAGTAGCATCTTTCCACCACAGAAAAAATTTCATCCCTCATCTCATTATCAATGACTCCTTCATCTCCTTAGACAGTGATATCACACAATCTTTCCTATCATTCTTCTCCAACCTTTTCAGCAAACCTCAAGCCTCCAGTCTGAGACCCAACTGGAACATCTTATACCCTCATGAGCAAATAGATCTATCTTTCCTTGATCAGCCTTTCTCCCCTCAGGAAATTACTGAGGCTGTGTTCGGACTTCACCCAGAGAAATCCCCATGTCCCTGAATGGTTCCCTTCCGATCCTTTTTTATCAAAAGTTCTGGACTGTTATCAAATCAGATGTCATTGAATTCATTCAAGGTCTATACTCCCACCCTCAAGTTCTCCACAATATCATTTATTCTTACATTTGCCTCATTCCCCAAAAGGATGAAGCTATCTCCCCTAAAGATTTCCGGCCTATAAGCCTGATCAACAGCTCTTGTAAGATTTTTTCCATTGTAAGATTTTTTCCAAAGTCTTGGCAAATAGGCTCAGAAAAGTTATCCACCTCCTCATTGACAACTCTTAGTCAGCTTTTCAATCAGGCAAATCTTCTTTGGACTCTTTCCTTTTAGGCCATGAAATGATAAACTTCTGTTCTTCTGGGAAAAAAGATGTTTGTACTATTAAAGTTGATTTTTACAAGGCCTTTGATTGTGTTAACTGGTCCTTTCTTCTATCTCTTCTTGAAGCTAGAGGCTTTGGCCCCAAGTGGTGTTCCTGGATCCACCATATCATCTCTTCATCCAAATCAGCAGTTTTGGTTAATGGGACTCCTACCTCCTTTTTCAAATGCTTCAGGGGCCTTAAACAAGGCGATCCTCTCTCCCCCCTTCTTTTTCTGTTAGTGGTAGATGTCCTCAGTCAGATGCTCAAATGTAGTGCAGCCTCTGGAGACCTCTCCAACCTTAACTTGAGAGGTAATCTTAACTATATAAGAACCATCCAGTTTGCGGATGACACAATCATCTTCTCTAGGGCTAATCCCACCGATATGGTAACCCTAAAGACCATCCTCTCTATCTTTGCTAGTATTTCTGGGCTCTGTGCAAATCAACAGAAATCTAACATCTTCTACCTTAGCAAAACCCCACAGAAAGGCAATTCTCTGGCTGAAATCCTCGGTTGTTCTGTAGGCACACTCCCCTTTTCTTATTTGGGTCTTCCTCTGAAAAGAGGTTCACTAACCAAAAGAGAGTGGCAACCTCTTCTTGAATCATTCAAAAATAAGCTTTCCAAATGGAAAAATAAAACCCTCTCTATCGGAGGTAGGCTGACACTTCTGAACTCTGTCCTCTCCTCCATCCCTCTCTATTATGTCTTTTTTTAAGCTGCCAAAATGGGTTATTAAGGCCATTGATAAAATCAGAAAAAACTTCCTCTGGAATGGCAGTCATAGCTTCTCAAGATCTAAATGCCTTATTAACTGGGGCACGGTTTGCAAATCTAAAGAAGAAGGGAGGGCTTGGGGTGATTGATATCCCCTCTTTCAACTCAGCCCTCCTCCCTAAATGGATTTGGAAAATGCTCGACAGATCCTCTTATCTAAGCAAAGTGTTTTTTCCATTTATTCTAAAAATGGAGCTAATCCTCTGGCTGTTCAACCAAAGAAGTCATCCTCAAGATTTCTTCAAGATCTATTCTCCATCCAATCAACCTTCTTCAAATTAAATAGTGAGATGGAATGTGGGGGATGGTAACACAGGCAGTTTTTGGCATGATAAATGGTCCTCAGCTAATTCTCTTAGCAGCCTCTATCCTCATGCATATAAGCTTGCTCTCACTAAAAACTGCAGCATTGGCTCTCAAGGCAGATGGATAAACAATGCATGGTATTGGCATCTGTTAATTAGAAGGGGGATCTCCCCTAATGAAAGGGCAGACATTCTCAATCTTCACTCTTATCTAGAGCATATAATTCCAGGCGGTCCATCGGAGCATGATGTCTTACAATGGCCTCTTCTCTCTACGGGTATTTTCTCTGTAAAATCCTTTTACACCTTTGTTTCTTCTGGGGGCCAAAAATCCAAGTTCTTCAACATGATTTGGAAATCCAACATTCCCTTAAATGTAAAAGTCCACCTCTGGATTATTTCAAAAAGGAAGCTTAACACAAGAGACAATTTAATCAAAAAAGGTTGGACCGGTGACCCTCTTTGCCCTTTTTGTCTTGGGGAAACTGAAACCCACGACCATATATTCATTCACTGCTCTTTCGCTCGAGATGTTTGGAATTTCCTTCTCCCCCTCTTTCCAGCTAACAGCTGGCCATTAACCATGGAAGACCTGCTGCTGCTTCACAAAGCCCCCAATATTTGCTCAGACATTAAAGCCATATGGAAGATTCTTTTGCCATGTTTTTGCTGGAGGATCTGGTTTTGTAGAAACTCACTCATTTTCAAGGATATCCAGCCCATCCCGCTGCAAACTGCTTTGGAGGATCTGGTTTTGTAGAAACTCACTCATTTTCAAGGATATCCAGCCCATCCCGCTGCAAACTGCTTCTAATATAGCGAGGTTTTCCATTTTCATTTTCAAGGATATCCAGCCCATCCCGCTGCAAACTGCTTCTAATATAGCGAGGTTTTCCATTTTTTGGACAGGTTCATGAGATGATAGGACGGCGAGGAGGCTTCGAAGGGCATCTCTCAACCTCGGACTACAGGAATTAGCCAAGAAGAACACCCAAACAGAGGCTGGGGACAACTGTTCCAGCAACTAAGCTTCATTGTCTCATGTCCCAATATGAAGAAGAAGTTTTTGTTCAGTGAAGACGCCCCCCTTTTTGGTTAGCTAGTAGAAGTATCATGCTTTGTCTAGTCATTATACATTAAGTGTGGTTGTTATTTATCCCCCTGTTGTTATGTCTGATGTGTTTCTATCTAGCTGTAGGGAACAGTAGGTCAAGTGTGGTAGGTGACGACATTGGTCTGCTCCCTACTCACTTCTCCTACTGTGCTCTCTCCATCTAGAGATGTTGTAATCTCCTCTGTTGATACTTTTGCAATATATTAAATGAACAGGGCTTTACACCCTGTTTCTCAGGTTCAAAAAAACATTATCTCTTTTCTTCTCAAATCTCTCTATTCTTATCAGTTAGGAAGGAAGGACCATCTTTTCTACATGTACTTTTGTACTTCTTTCTTGCTGTCCTCGGAAACTTTTTAATGAAAGCGGAGGGGAGGAGCGTCACTCCACCATTCCTACTAAAAAAATTCTGTTGATAAGAATAAAATACGTGAATATCTATAACTTGCATCCAAAGACCTATATTGGCTAATGGTTTTGGAATCCGTATGATCCAAAAGAAAAATTTTCTACTAGAGCCTTGGGTTTAGTCATTTAGCCATCCATATAATCTCTCATCTTTTCCAGTATGGGACTAAAATACCGTCTTCTATCATACTTAATTTAGTATTCTTCTCAGCGTGAGTATCACCGAGTCAAATTCAAATCATAACGTCAGTATACTAACACGGCAAAAGGTTTGAAGGAATTACAAAAAGTCTAAGATCACTCAAGTGGTCATTCAAACAACGAGAGGGGAAAAAAAAAGTTTAAAACGAGGTTTTTCTTTTCAAGAATGAATCGACAGTATATTTACCGTCAACCATAGTAAAAGTGAGTTATCGACATTCCTAGATAAGAAGACAGGTCACAATTAAGCTAATGATACGATGTAATAACTACTACTGCAAACACTTTATGAAGACAATCAGAATAAATTGGCCTGTAACTAGAATATAACTAATTAAAAAATAATAATAATTAAGCTGCACGCGTCATGTATCTGCTTATTGGACATACATTATCCATGAATACAAGTTTGTGATTGGTATATAGAAATAGAATGCCAGCAATACTTGCCAACTAGAGGGTATCTCAGATTACCCCCACTCTTACTATTTACTATACTTTATCTACCTACATTTAAAAAAATTCAAGTTAATATTAGAAGAAAATAGTAGATAGCATAGAACTGATTCCTGCCAGCTTGAAAAAGGAAAAAAAGATGTAAAGTGATTTGGTCTATTCCTCTCTTCTTACTCTTTCCTCATCCGCTACTCAACACCAAGTTAAAGTCAATTGCAACCTGGAGCATTCAGGACAGCTAAGCTTAATTACCGAGCGAGCTCGACTTCAATAAGTAATTAATGTGTTGATTTCTTCCGTTCTGAGGTTTTATGTTTGGTTCCTTTTAAGAAGTCATTTTTGTGAAACATACTTAATTACCCGTTAGGAGTGTCTTGTATACATTCAATCTAAATGTGGAATTAATCTAGCAAAATTCATGAGCTGTCACATACTGAAAAATAAAAGATAGATACAAAAATATTATAAGTTTGGACTCATGACTCAAACACGTTAATCTATAATCTATTAACCATCCGTTATGAGCAACGCTAAGTCAGTCTCAGTATAAGGATTCTCAAATCCGTACACGAATTGACTGGTAAAAAATTGACGAGGAAATTTTGTTATATGTATGCCAACTATTATCTCCAATCAGAGTCAGCTATAGCCGTGTAATCATCTAAATCTACATAACCCATGTTTGAAATCTTGAACAACGCCATTATATTCTTTTATGAAAGACTTATATTACTGTCTATGGACTTCCAACACAAATTGTTGTGCGCGGCGAGAAAGCGAGACAAACAAACGGGCGTGCTTCGAGAACCAAATCAAACCAAACGTCGAGATAAAGGCCAAAACAATCAAAACAACAGCACAAATCCAAACACAATAGTGTGGTGTGTGCCACAACAGGGTGTGGCAGACTCGTTTTTAGAATCCTAATCTGTTTGGGATTGTGTTTTGCTATAAATAGAGACACGTTTTTTAGGGTTTCCTTGGCTTTGTTTGAGCTTTGATTAAGCATTGTTTGGAGGATATTTTGAGCACAAAAAAAGGTATTTTTGAGCTATTTGTTTAGGGTTTTGTTTGGAGAGATTAAGAGCTTGTTGGTGAGATTAGTTTGTTCCTTCGAGTGAGTTGTAATCTCAGTTTGTACTCTTTCTCTATTAGTGAAAATCCCATCCCCTTTCTTGCCCCGTGGACGTAGGCAATTTGCCGAACCACGTTAAAATTGGTGTTTTGTTTGTGCATTGATATTTAGCTCGTTTGGCTCTCTTGGATTGGCGTTTGGTTTGGTTCCTCGACACAGCTTTTGGCACAACACAAATATGATTAGAAATGATGTGTATGAGATAACAACTCTTTTTGTTAAATGAGCTAACAAGAAATGAGAAAGTACTGATGCACATACATTCGATCACACCCGTAGCAGGTGAATATTATTATCTACCATCTCTTGAGAGATTATTTAACAAAATTAGCTTCATATGAATCATATCCAATTAATTTATATGTAGAGAGAGGCGCACCTTATTGGATGGAGACTTGACCAAGTTAGACATGCCAATAAAATCCAAATTACCTAAACCATATTGCAACTTAACCA